GATAATCGATTTGAATATTAGGTGTATACGGAGTTCGCACACGGCAAGCTGCATAATTTTCAGACTTACACGGCGGCTATATATAAACGTTGATCGAATTCTCTCTCTCTCTCTCTCTCCTTCTTTCATAGTTGGACGGTATATTAAATTGTGCAAAATAATCGCGCTCCGTTCATTTTTACGTCGTCCCCAGGGAAAAGACTAATCTCTCTCGACGATAATTCCCGTGAAGGCTGCTAAAAATATTCGACGATTTCTGGATCACGGACTACAAGCGGATCGTCGCTTATACACGTGCGCGCGCGAACGTGTGTGCGCGCGTGCGCGCGCCTCGCGATAATGCAACCGGAGTATGGCTTATCAAGTATTCACGCGACGAGTTTCCAAAATCGCACGGACGATCGAACAAATTTGCGCCGAATCCGGAGAAACGCTATTACCGACGCAATTAGCAGATGTAGCGTTAAAGTGCAGCGATTAACGAGAGACCGATTAAAAGCGGTATTTCCAGGGTCGAAGTAGTGTGGGCTTGGGAGAGAAGAGATGGGAGAGAACGGCCGCGCACGGTCGTTGATTACAGAGAAAGGATCGCCGAGCAATCGGGGGATACAACGAGAAAAAAAATCATAAAAATGATAATGATCCGTGAGGTATAAGATAATCCAAATATTTACCAAAATAAAAATGATATGATATAGAATGTCTCAGAGACGTATCGAAATTTGAAGACATTCTTTGAAATATATGAAACCAATCTCTTCTTTGCAAAAATTGTTACCAAGAGACTTAATCACTATTATCTATATAATCTGTTTAATTGAAGCAAAAGATTTCTAAAAATCTTGATAATAAAATATAAATGTATAACAATATTGTATTTTGATAAAATTCATATATCAAAAATAACGTCGACGTTTCATATAATTAGGAGATATATGTACTTATATATATACATAAGCACACGCGAGTATGTACTGCAAATTCTAAAAAAGAAATTTTGATTTACAAACGCATCGGAAACGGGTCACAAGCGACGAAGTTGCGAAATAAATTATCGACTTTAACGTAGTTTCCAGGCCAGGAAAAGCGATCTCGAAAGACTTCGACAAGGGAATGAATGGCTACAAGAATCGATTTATTTTCACTGCTCGCGATACACACAATATGGGATAAGTCGGCAATATCTTATCAATGCATTAATTAGTACATATACCTATATACGCGCGAACCTCCATTTCCTATCTTATCTGTTGGAGAGATTATTATACAATGAATATCTGTCGCATATAATGCGATGTCTATCATGTTTTAATATCATTCATTACTTATTAATATATA